AAATCCACACGGCCACGGGCAGAGAGAGAGACACGCAAACTCCAGATATACAGCAGGCGTCAGGGTCGGGATCGAACCCACGAACTCCTGCATACCAGGCGAGGGAGTTAACATCCCACCACTGAGAGAGATACGCAAACTCCAGATATACAGCAGGCGTCAGGGTCGGGATCGAACCCACGACCTCCTGCATACCAGGCGAGGGAGTTAACATCTCACTACGGAGAGAGACACGCAAACTCCAGATATACAGCAGGCGTCAGGGTCGGGATCGAACCCACGACCTCCTGCATACCAGGCGAGGGAGTTAACATCTCACTACGGAGAGAGACACGCAAACTCCAGATATACAGCAGGCGTCAGGGTCGGGATCGAACCCACGACCTCCTGCATACCAGGCGAGGGAGTTAACATCCCACCACTGAGAGAGACACGCAAACTCCAGATATACAGCAGGCGTCAGGGTCGGGATCGAACCCACGACCTCCTGCATTCCAGGCGAGGGAGTTAACATCTCCTAGCCACCGCAGCATAGTCGCGTGACCGGCACTTTTAAAAATCGAGACATTGGAGCCAGTCGAAAAGAAACGCCACTCAATAAATCAACAAATAATCAGACGTAACATTTTAAATTGTTTTTACTTAAAACACCCAGGCCGTATATCGCAGGCTGCCCAACGTAAGCTTGAAGCATTCTTAGCGTGTAAAAAAATATATACATATGTATTTATATATTAAAGCAAAAGTAACGATTTAGTGACACCACACGGCTTCATGTATACCACAACATCGGTACAGTATTACGGATTGGGGAAGTGTAAAGGGGTTTGTAGTGATGTTGTCCTAAAGAACTCCACTCAGCCTCCCAACACGTTCACATCACGAGACCATTCTGGCACTCTTCAAAGTATGACAAAAAAAATCTTAAGTGTTACCCCTTCCTGGCAATAAAACAAGGGGTGTAAAGATGTACAAACACCAAATAAAAAAACTTTTTACAAGGGATGAAGGACTGCATTGACCACGCGTACTTGTGGTTAACATGCATGCAAACATGCTCTGATAATACATGCATTGTCTTTTTTGAAATCGAAGAAGGCTGTCTTTGGTATAGGCCAAGCAGTTTCAAAGACAATGCATATATAATTATCAGAGCGTGTTTGTTTGCATGTTCACCACAAGTACTGTGTGTGGTTAATGCAGCCTTCATTCCTTGCAAAAGGTTTCTATTTGGCTTTTGAACATCATGTTTTATTGCCAGAGAGAGGTTAAGCACCTTTTTTTTATTTTTCATACGTTAACATGCAGACGCCACGCCGCACAGATGACGTGTCTCCTTGCCTCTGTTGAGCACGCATACGAGACGCACACCGATTTCTGTTCAACATTTCTGTGGCTTCATTCGGTGATCGCGCTACGATCGGTCTGAGATATTTGTCTGCCCGAGCCGATTCACGCTACGGGTAATGTATTCCTTTAACACCAATCTGGTACCATTGTAAAAAAAAAATTCACCACGTGACCGAGTCGGTTGTTTTTGCACCGATTCCTGTTTGCTTCATCGCTCAATCTGTGTTCAACTTGTTTTATGGTTGGCCATATTTTTGATCCCGAGGTCACCCTTGCATCTGAGACTCATCATGGTCTCTTAATTTCTCACCCGGTTCCACAAAATAAACTTGACTTGACATATCATGGAATACCTTTTTTTTGCTGGTATCAAAGTATGAAAAATAAGAATGGATTTTACCCTTTCTGGCAATAAAACAAGAGGTGTTAAGATGTTAAAACAGCAAATATATTCATTTTTTCCAGGAATAAAGTTCGCATTAACCACACGTGCCTGCGGTGAACATGCTAATACAAACATGCTCTGATAACACGTGGGCATTGTCTTTGAAACCGATTGGCCTACACCAGAGGCAGCCTTCTTGATGGCCCAGTCTCACCAGAGTCAGACCAGAGGACGCCAGAAGGCGAACAGTACTTACATTGCCAGAAAGCGTAACATCTATTCTGGCAAAATGTCCCATGACATAAACAAACAAATCTCTAACCCTAATCAGCCCCGGAAGCCTTCCACGAATACATTATTTTGGCATCGCTGATTCAGTAAAAGCGAATTCTCTGGCCAGTTTAACCTCTGTGGAGAGACAGATACTGTGTATAAATAATTACAGTAATACCCCAACTTAAGTCTCCCCCTTCTTGATGGCATAGTCTCACCAGAGTCAGAGCAGAGAACGCCAAAAGGCGAACGGTACTCTTATTTCCAGAAAGGGTAAAACATATTCTTGCTTTTCATGCTTTGGCTTGACTTGACAGATGCAAAGGGAGGAATTTGATCAGCCTCAACACAAACCCACTCATCGTCTTTATTCATACTGCACGAATCTGATGAGCTTTGAAGCTCTTTGCACAGATGTTCAGCCTTGACGCTACGCCACTGAGTGGTGTAGCGTGGTGGCTGCCATGGGTCCTGCAGCGAAGGATGAAATGGAATCCCCTGTCCAAGTGCCCTATCTTCGTAGCCCAGAGTCCGGAACCCGCCATGGTGCAGTTGCACTGCCTACACACTCAATGGATATGCTGATTACCGCAGTTTTAACATTGACCCACAGTCTCAACACTGACACACAGCCTTAACACTGACACACAGCCTCAACACTTACACACAACACAACCTCAACACTGACCCACAGCCTCAACACTCACCCACAGCCTCAACACTGACCCACAGCCTAAACACTGACACACAGTCTCAACACTGACACACAGTCTCAACACTGACACACAGTCTCAACACTGACACACAGTCTCAACACTGACACACAGCGTCAACACTGACACACAGTCTCAACACTGACACACAGTCTCAACACTGAGACACAGTCTCAACACTGAGACACAGTCTCAACACTGACACACAGTCTCAACACTGACACACAGTCTCAACACTGACACAGCCTCAACACTGACACACAGCCTCAACACTGACACACAGTCTCAACACTGACACAGCCTCAACACTGACACACAGTCTCAACACTGACACACAGCCTCAACACTGACACACAGTCTCAACACTGACACACAGTCTCAACACTGACACACAGTCTCAACACTGACACACACCCTCAACGCTGACACACAGTCTCAACACTGACACAGCCTCAACACTGACACACAGTCTCAACACTGACACACAGTCTCAACACTGACACACAGTCTCAACACTGACACACAGCCTCAACACTGACACACAGTCTCAACACTGACACACAACCTCAACACTGACACACAGTCTCAACACTGACACACAACCTCAACACTGACACACAGTCTCAACACTGACACACAGTCTCAACACTGACACACAGCCTCAACACTGACACACAGTCTCAACACTGACACACAGTCTCAACACTGACACAGTCTCAACACTGACACACAGCCTCAACACTGACACACAGCCTCAACACTGACACACAGCCTCAACACTGACACAGCCTCAACACTGACACACAGTCTCAACACTGACACAGTCTCAACACTGACACACAGCCTCAATGCTGACACACAGTCTCAACACTGACACACAGTCTCAACACTGACACACAGTCTCAACACTGACACACAGTCTCAACACTGACACACAGCCTCAACACTGACACACAGTCTCAACACTGACACACAGTCTCAACACTGACACAGTCTCAACACTGACACAGCCTCAACACTGACACACAGTCTCAACACTGACACACAACCTCAACACTGACACAACCTCAACACTGACACAGTCTCAACACTGACACACAGTCTCAACACTGACACACAGTCTCAACACTGAGACAGTCTCAACACTGACACACAGTCTCACCATTGACACACAGTCTCAACACTGACACACAGTCTCAACACTGAGACACAGCCTCAACACTGACACACAGTCTCAACACTGACACACAGTCTCAACACTGAGACACAGCCTCAACACTGACACACAGTCTCAACACTGAGACACAGCCTCAACACTGACACACAGTCTCAACACTGACACACGGTCTCAACACTGACACACAGTCTCAACACTGACACACAGTCTCAACACTGACACACAGTCTCAACACTGACACACAGTCTCAACACTGACACACAGTCTCAACACTGAGACACAGTCTCAACACTGAGACACAGTCTCAACACTGACACACAGTCTCAACACTGACACACAGCCTCAACACTGACACAGTCTCAACACTGACACACAGCCTCAACACTGACACACAGTCTCAACACTGACACACAGTCTCAACACTGACACACAGTCTCAACACTGACACAGCCTCAACACTGACACACAGTCTCAACACTGACACACAGTCTCAACACTGACACACAGTCTCAACACTGACACACAGCCTCAACACTGACACAGTCTCAACACTGACACACAGTCTCAACACTGACACACAGTCTCAACACTGAGACAGTCTCAACACTGACACACAGTCTCACCATTGACACACAGTCTCAACACTGACACACAGTCTCAACACTGACACAGTCTCAACACTGACACGGTCTCAACACTGACACAGCCTCAACACTGACACAGCCTCAACACTGACACACAGCCTCAACACTGACACAGCCTCAACACTGACACAGTCTCAACACTGACCCACAGTCTCAACACTGACACACAGTCTCAACACTGACACAGCCTCAACACTGACACACAGTCTCAACACTGACACAGCCTCAACACTGACACACAGTCTCAACACTGACACAGCCTCAACACTGACACACAGTCTCAACACTGACACAGCCTCAACACTAACACACAGCCTCAACACTGACACACAGTCTCAACACTGACACACAGTCTCAACACTGACACAGCCTCAACACTGACACACAGTCTCAACACTGACACAGCCTCAACACTTACACACAGCCTCAACACTGACACAGCCTTAACACTGACACAGTCTCAACACTGACACAGCCTTAACACTGACACAGTCTCAACACTGACACACAGTCTCAACACTGACACAGCCTTACTTGCAGACTGCCTTTTCCGAAAGTGGCCATTAGGGGGCGCAATAGGCCAAGCTTGGCCAATGGACGCCTCGCCCGTCACAAGTGACGGTACAACGGCCTCAATGTCCACGCCATCCCAATTACCCACAGATCCAATTGCTGCGCGACTCCCTCTTATCCGTGCTCCTTGCTCACGAGCAACTTCGGGCGGGAAGGTCTCTCGGGGATTGGCGGTGCGGGAAGGTGGGGAGGTGAGGAGTTGAGGTGGGGAGTTGAGGTGGGAGGGTGTTCGTGGGTCTGGGCTCAGAGCGCCGTGATGTCGTCGCTGCACCGCACGTGCACCATGACGGTGCCGCCACCACCGCCGCCCTCCCGCGTCTCCAGCTGCAGCGTGTGCTCGTCTTCGGCCTGGTTCAGGTCCGGCAGCCCCACCTCGCCAAGGAGCTCGTCCTTTAGCCAGTGACTTGACCACACCTGGGCCGAGGGGAACAACGAGCGGGTCCGGCAGTCAGGGCCACCTTTAGGGGCTTGTGGACTAAATCATCGATTATCGCGATCGCCCCCCCACCCCCACCTCTAGCGGGGGTGAGAACTCGAAGGGACCAGGAGTCTCAATTGCAAGAGCGACCCGGGGAATTACAGCGCGATATAAAACTGTTAACAACAAAAAAAAACGATAAACATTTTTTTTATTTTACCAGGTAAGGCCCACTGAGCAACACAACTATTTTGTTCAGAAGCGACCTGGTTACACAAATGATAGGTCGACGAAGTGGGTTATCATCATCGCGTGGACATTCATAGCAGCCAAATACTCTAAAAGCATGTTTATAAGAAGTCGAGGGAAAAAACGGAGGACACGGAGACAAATCCATGCAACCATGGGGAGAGAGAGAGAGAGACGCGCAAATTCCAAATATACAGCAGCAGGCGTCGGGGTCTGGATCGAACCCACGACCTCCTGCATACCAGGCGAGGGAGATCATATCTCGCCACCACGTTGTGCCAAATATACCATGCCGATCATCGCCCCATTCTGGAAACAAACTTGGCAGGACGCTGTTGAACAGATAGTCACGAGAGTCGGGCGAGGCTTTTAACAAATAGGAATCCTTTACAAGTGCAAAGTGAGTGGTGTATTACATCCGTATATTCCAATGGACCACCACCATCAGGATGTAGAGGCCAGGGTAAAAAAGGTGAGTTTTCAAGACGGGACATAAATAGCTATGGGACCTATGCATTGTCTTGTTTCAAAGACAATGCATATACGGTATTATCCGAGCGTGTTTGTCTTGCAAGTACTTGGTGCCTTTGGTGCCTTGCAAAATTTAATAATACAGATATAAGTCACCTGGATAACAATGGAATAATACAGATAATGATAATGAAATAATACAAGTACAAGTCACCTGGATGAAAATGGAATAATGCAAATAATGACAATGGAATGATATAGGTATAAGCCACCTGAATGACAAAGGAATAATACAGATAATGACAATGGAATAAAACAGGTACAAGTCACCTGGATGACAATGGAATAATACAGATAATGACAATGGAATGATACAGGTATAAGCCACCTGGATGACAATGGAATAATACAGATAATGACAATGGAATAAAATAGGTACAAGTCACCTGGATGACAATGGAATAATACAGATAATGACAATGGAATGATACAGGTACAAGCCACCTGGATGACAAAGGAATAATACAAAAAACGACAATGGAATGATACAGGTACAAGTCACCTGAATGACAATGGAATAATACAGATAATGACAATGGAATAAAACAGGTACAAGTCACCTGGATGACAATGGAATAATACAGATAATGACAATGGAATGATACAGGTACAAGCCACCTGGATGACAATGGAATAATACAGATAATGACAATGGAATGATACAGGTACAAGTCACCTGGATGACAATGGAATAATACAGATAATGACAATGGAATGATACAGGTATAAGCCACCTGGATGACAATGGAATAATACAGATAATGACAATGGAATGATACAGGTACAAGTCACCTGGATGACAATGGAATAATACTGATGACAATGGAATAATACAAGTACAAGTCACCTGGATGACAATGGAATAATACAGATAATGACAATGGAATAAAACAGGTACGAGTCACCTGGATGACAATGGAATAATACAGATAATGACAATGGAATGATACAGGTATAAGCCACCTGGATGACAATGGAATAATACAGATAATGACAATGGAATGATACAGGTACAAGCCACCTGGATGACAAAGGAATAATACAAAAAACGACAATGGAATGATACAGGTACAAGTCACCTGAATGACAATGGAATAATACAGATAATGACAATGGAATAAAACAGGTACAAGTCACCTGGATGACAATGGAATAATACAGATAATGACAATGGAATGATACAGGTATAAGCCACCTGGATGACAATGGAATAATACAGATAATGACAATGGATTGATACAAGTACAAGTCACCTGGATGACAATGGAATAATACAGATAATGACAATGGAATGATACAGGTATAAGCCACCTGGATGACAATGGAATAATACAGATAATGACAATGGAATGATACAGGTACAAGCCACCTGGATGACAAAGGAATAATACAGAAAACGACAATGGAATGATACAAGTACAAGTCACCTGAATGACAATGGAATAATACAGATAATGACAATGGAATAAAATAGGTACAAGTCACCTGGATGACAATGGAATAATACAGATAATGACAATGGAATGATACAGGTACAAGCCACCTGGATGACAAAGGAATAATACAAAAAACGACAATGGAATGATACAGGTACAAGTCACCTGAATGACAATGGAATAATACAGATAATGACAATGGAATAAAACAGGTACAAGTCACCTGGATGACAATGGAATAATACAGATAATGACAATGGAATGATACAGGTACAAGCCACCTGGATGACAATGGAATAATACAGATAATGACAATGGAATGATACAGGTACAAGTCACCTGGATGACAATGGAATAATACAGATAATGACAATGGAATGATACAGGTATAAGCCACCTGGATGACAATGGAATAATACAGATAATGACAATGGAATGATACAGGTACAAGTCACCTGGATGACAATGGAATAATACTGATGACAATGGAATAATACAAGTACAAGTCACCTGGATGACAATGGAATAATACAGATAATGACAATGGAATAAAACAGGTACGAGTCACCTGGATGACAATGGAATAATACAGATAATGACAATGGAATGATACAGGTATAAGCCACCTGGATGACAATGGAATAATACAGATAATGACAATGGAATGATACAGGTACAAGCCACCTGGATGACAAAGGAATAATACAAAAAACGACAATGGAATGATACAGGTACAAGTCACCTGAATGACAATGGAATAATACAGATAATGACAATGGAATAAAACAGGTACAAGTCACCTGGATGACAATGGAATAATACAGATAATGACAATGGAATGATACAGGTATAAGCCACCTGGATGACAATGGAATAATACAGATAATGACAATGGATTGATACAAGTACAAGTCACCTGGATGACAATGGAATAATACAGATAATGACAATGGAATGATACAGGTATAAGCCACCTGGATGACAATGGAATAATACAGATAATGACAATGGAATGATACAGGTACAAGCCACCTGGATGACAAAGGAATAATACAGAAAACGACAATGGAATGATACAAGTACAAGTCACCTGAATGACAATGGAATAATACAGATAATGACAATGGAATAAAACAGGTACAAGTCACCTGGATGACAATGGAATAATACAGATAATGACAATGGAATGATACAGGTACAAGCCACCTGGATGACAATGGAATAATACAGATAATGACAATGGAATGATACAGGTACAAGTCACCTGGATGACAATGGAATAATACAGATAATGACAATGGAATGATACAGGTATAAGCCACCTGGATGACAATGGAATAATACAGATAATGACAATGGAATGATACAGGTACAAGTCACCTGGATGACAATGGAATAATACAGATAATGACAATGGAATAAAACAGGTACAAGTCACCTGGATGACAATGGAATAATACAGATAATGACAATGGAATAAAACAGGTACAAGTCACCTGGATGACAATGGAATAATACAGATAATGACAATGGAATGATACAGGTATAAGCCACCTGGATGACAATGGAATAATACAGATAATGACAATGGAATGATACAGGTACAAGCCACCTGGATGACAAAGGAATAATACAAAAAAACGACAATGGAATGATACAGGTACAAGTCACCTGAATGACAATGGAATAATACAGATAATGACAATGGAATAAAACAGGTACAAGTCACCTGGATGACAATGGAATAATACAGATAATGACAATGGAATGATACAGGTATAAGCCACCTGGATGACAATGGAATAATACAGATAATGACAATGGAATGATACAGGTATAAGCCACCTGGATGACAATGGAATAATACAGATAATGACAATGGAATGATACAGGTACAAGCCACCTGGATGACAAAGGAATAATACAGAAAACGACAATGGAATGATACAAGTACAAGTCACCTGAATGACAATGGGCTTGTCTGGCCTGCGCTGGTAGAAGATGGCCCTCGTGTTGAAGGCGGCCTCCTGCGTGCCCTTGAAGACGTCGGTCTGCACCCGCATGTCCTCGCAGATGATCACTCCATACGGGCTGATGCCTGGGCAAGACGTCGCGCGCTCTTCACTTCTGGTGGTGGAACCGGGAGGTGCGCGCTGGTGCCATGCGGTCAGAGGTCAGAGCACCAAGCTGGCAGCATGTAAGAACATGTTTGTCCCTGTCATGGGAATGTGGAATTTCCACCGCTGGCTCCTGGGATCCAACAACGCAGCTGTGCATCATCGCCGTTATCATCGGTTGAGTCTTTGCGGGCAAAGCTCGACGTTGGAACTCCCTCCTGCCATCATCGTCCAGTCCCCCCCAGGTGTAATAATAGGGTCAGTGGCAAAAGCCCGCGCCTGCTATGAGCGCGGTTGGCTACGTACGTTGCGAAAGAAGTTCAACACACACACACATACATATCATTGTGAGAACCCCGTTCAGTTCGAGAAACACGTTGTGCTCTTGCCAATTACAACTTTGGAAGAAGAAGAAAGAACAATAGCAACGTGAAGAAAGGCCACTGCCTGAAACGTTTCCTATTATTATTTTTCTTTTCACTTTCAAGGCCACACACACACACACTGTATTATTGACAAACGTGTTAAAGTTTTTGTTTTTGTGGCAGCAGCATCAACAGCCACAGCAGCAGTAGTAACAGCAGCAGCAGCAGCAGCAAAAGCAGCAACAGCAACAACAGAAACAGTAGCAGTAGTTACAGCAGCAGCAGCAGCAGCAAAAGCAGCAACAACAGCAGCAGCATCAGCAGCAATAACAGCAGCAGCATCAGCAGCAGCATCAGCAGCAGCAACAACGAGAACAGCAGCAAGACGACCAACCGACCAGGTCAAACTAATTTTTAGGTTTTTTACCAGGTAAGGTCAACTGAGATATGTACAGGAATTCCTCTACTTACAAACATTCGACTTACGTACTTTCAGAGATACGAACAAATCTGTCCGTACGTCCAGTTGCAGCCTGTTCGTACCGAGAGTCAGAAGTTCAACCACCCCACAATAGAGGGCGGTGGATGCATCTACATCTATAGAACGTGAAGAACCAGTGGCATCTACATCTATAGAACGTGAAGAACCAGTGGCATCTACATCTATAGAACGTGAAAAACCACTGGCATCTACATCTATAGAACGTGAAGAACCACTGGCATCTACATCTATATAACGTGAAGAACCAGTGGCATCTACATATATAGAACGTGAAGAACCAGTGGCATCTACATATATAGAAAGTGAAGAACCAGTGGCATCTATATCTGCAGAACGTGAAAACCAGTGCCATCTACATCTGCAGAATGTGAAGAACCAGTGGCATCTACATATATAGAACGTGAAGAACCAGTGACATCTGCAGAACGTGAAGAACCACTGGCATCTATATCTGCAGAACGTGAAGAACCAGTTGCATCTACATCTGCAGAACGGGAAGAACCAGTGGCATCTACATCTATAGAACGTGAAGAACCAGTGGCATCTACATATATAGAACGTGAAGAACCAGTGGCATCTACATCTATAGAACGTGAAGAACCAGTGGCATCTACATCTATAGAACGTGAAGAACCAGTGGCATCTACATCTATAGAACGTGAAGAACCAGTGGCATCTACATATATAGAACATGAAGAACCAGTGGCATCTACATCTATAGAACGTGAAGAACCAGTGGCATCTACATCTATAGAACGTGAAGAACCACTGGCATCTACATCTATAGAACGTGAAGAACCAGTGGCATCTACATATATAGAACGTGAAGAACCACTGGCATCTACATCTGTAGAACATGAAGAACCAGTGGCATCTACATCTATAGAACGTGAAGAACCAGTGGCATCTATATCTATAGAACGTGAAGAACCAGTGGCATCTATATCTATAGAACGTGAAGAACCAGTGACATCTACATCTGTAGAACGTGACGAACCAGTGGCATCTACATCTATAGAACGTGAAGAACCAGTGGCATCTATATCTATAGAACGTGAAGAACCAGTGGCATCTACATCTATAGAACGTGAAGAACCAGTGACATCTACATCTATAGAACGTGAAGAACCAGTGGCATCTACATCTATAAAACGTGAAGAACCAGTGGCATCTACATCTATAGAACGTGAAGAACCAGTGGCATCTACATCTATAGAACGTGAAGAACCAGTGGCATCTAAATATATAGAACGTGAAGAACCAGTGGCATCTACATCTATAGAACGTGAAGAACCACTGGCATTTACATCTATAGAACGTGAAGAACCAGTGGCATGTACATCTATAGAACGTGAAGAACCAGTGGCATCTACATCTATAGAACGTGAAGAACCAGTCGCATCTACATATATAGAACGTGAAGAACCAGTGGCATCTACATCTATAGAACGTGAAGAACCACTGGCATTTACATCTATAGAACGTGAAGAACCAGTGGCATCTAATATATAGAACGTGAAGAACCACTGGCATCTACATCTGTAGAACGTGAAGAACCAGTGGCATCTACATCTATAGGACGTGAAGAACCAGTGGCATCTATATCTATAGAACGTGAAGAACCAGTGACATCTACATCTATAGAACGTGAAGAACCAGTGGCATCTACATCTATATAACGTGAAGAACCAGTGGTATCTACATATATACAACATGAAGAACTAGTGGCATCTACATCTATAGAACGTGAAGAACCAGTGGCATCTACATCTATAGAACGTGAAGAACCACTGGCATTTACATCTATAGAACGTGAAGAACCAGTGGCATCTACATATATAGAACGTGAAGAACCACTGGCATCTACATCTATAGAACGTGAAGAACCAGTGGCATCTACATCTATAGAACGTGAACAACCAGTGACATCTACATCTATAGAACGTGAAGAACCAGTGGCATCTACATCTATATAACGTGAAGAACCTTGGCATCTACATATATAGAACATGAAGAACCAGTGGCATCTACATCTACAGAACGTGAAGAACCAGTGGCATCTACATCTATAGAACGTGAAGAACCAGTGGCATCTACATATATAGAACATGAAGAACCAGTGGCATCTACATCTATAGAACGTGAAGAACCAGTGGCATCTACATCTATAGAACGTGAAGAACCAGTGGCATCTACATCTATAGAACGTGAAGAACCAGTGACATCTGCAGAACGTGAAGAACCACTGGCATCTATATCTGCAGAACGTGAAGAACCAGTGGCATCTACATCTGCAGAACGTGAAGAACCAGTGGCATCTACATCTGCAGAACGTGAAGAACCAGTGGCATCTACATCTATGGAACGTGAAGAACCAGTGGCATCTACATATACAGAACGTGAAGAACCAGTGGCATCTACATCTGCAGAATGTGAAGAACCAGTGGCATCTATATCTGCAGAACATGAAGAACCAATGGCATCTACATCTGCAGAACACGAAGAACCAGTGGTATCTACATCTACAGAACGCGAAGAACCAGTGGTATTTACATCTACAGAAGATTATACAATTTTTAAAGCCATTCCCCGTGTTTAGTGTACATGCCGTACAGCGTGTTTGGAATCAGCTGGAGTGAAGTTGGACTTTCGAACAGCAAACCTCCGGAACCTAACTCGTTCGTAAAGAGAGGCGTCCCTGTACAGCGCTTGTTTAAGAAGCAACCTGGCTATCACAAATTATAGCCCAACGAAGTGTCCTTATCATCATCGCGTGGTATACAGGAGGTCGTAGGCTTGATCCCGACCCTGATGCCTGTTGTATATTTGGAGTTTGCGTCTCCCTCTCTCTCCCCATGGTCGCGTGGATTTTTCTCGCGGTCCTCCAGTTGTTTCTCCCTCCACATTTAGAATCAACGTCACGCATTTAGAGTATTTGGCTGCTATAAATGTCCACGCAACGATAAGCCGCTTTGTTGAGCCGTCATTTGTTATAGCCAGGTCCCTTCTGAAAAAGAGCTACAGTACATAACTCACTGGGTCTTACCCAGTAAAATAAATGAAAAAGTTTAGTTTAACTTGGCATCTCATCTCAATCCTCCCCCCTACCTCTCTGTGCGAAACGCATCCTCTCTCAGAGACGTCTGTGTCGATCACATGGCGTCCCTTGATACGAGCTCACTTCATGACCTATTTAAAATATTTTTCATTTATATTACTTGGTAATAAAGCCCACTGAATTGGAAAATTATAGCAGCCAAATACTTGAAACGCGTGGCGTCGACTCTAAATGTGGAGGGGAAAACTCGAAAGACCCGGAGGAAAATCCACGCGACCACGGGGAGAGAGAGAGACACGCAAACTCCAATTACACTGCAGGCGTCAGAGTCGGGAGCGAACGCACGACCTTCTGTATACCAGGCGAGGTAGTTAACATCTCCTAGACACCGTGATGATGATGATGTTAAGAGAGAGAGAGACACGCAAACTCCAATTACACAGCAGGCGTCAGGGTCGGGAGCGAACGCACGACCTTCTGTATACTAGGCGAGGTAGTTAACATCTCCTAAACACCGTGGCGCCCCTAACCCAAAGCACGTGGCCTAACCCAAAAAAAAACGTGACTATAAAAACCGAACTTCATTTCTTTGAAGGCATCCGTCTTAATGCAAGGCAGACGTACAACCACCAATCATTTACGAATCATTAAGAATCCTCAAATGTGTAACTGCATTGAGATGATTATTAATGGGCCACTTTGTTGAGCTATCATTTGTGTCCAGGTCGCTTATGAAAAAGAGCTACATAGGTCAGTGGCCTTTGCCTGGAAGGATGTGGATGGTTTAATGTTGTATTTGTGTGTTTGGGTGATTTGTTGACCTTTCTCTTCTTTGGTTCTTTCGGTAAAGTCACGTAGAATGAGAATAAAATAAAAAAATTGATAAAATAAAATAACACAATAATATTCTCACGACGTTTCGGCCACAACACAAGCGGCCTTCATCATGTTGTGGCCGAAACGTCGTGAGAATATTATTGTGTTATTTTATTTTATAAATTTTTTATTTTATTCTCATTCTACGTGACTTTACCGAAAGAACCAAAGAAGATGAATCCTTGCAGTCACGAAAGCTTTAAATCGAAATTGTTGACCTTTCTTGAACTTTTCACTGCTATCGTGTTTTTGTACCGTTTGTTGTTGTAACGTTCTGACCCCGTGCCCATACTGGGCATCTGTGACAAAAGAGCTTCATAGCTCATCGCATTCCTGCTCCCACTATAAGTACAACATTCTGATTCTGTCAGGCCACGTGGCGGAGCCAATCGGAGCGACGGGGCTCTTGAGCGTGGTTCGTTCCACCGTGCGGCGAGCGCCACGCGGTGTGATGGGGGCCGTAGGGAGGGTGGGGGGGGGGAGGTGCTGGGACAACACCTGTCTTGCCGGGGACCTTGGCAGCGCGAAGGTGAACGGTGACCACCCTCACCGGGGGTCGATGGAACACGACCCAGCACGACTCGAGCGGGCTGTCCTTGGTCAGCTCCCTGCACCGCCGCCACCGACGGCGACAAAAACCCGGCACGGCTCTCTCAGCATCGGCGGCCGCGCCTCCAATTTAGCACGGCTGGCTTACGTACGGCAGGAAAGAAGTTCAACGTTGGTGCGGATGCTCGCAGCGAGCCGCAGGCCAATCGGTGCCGCTACAAACCACCGCAATGACCACCACCACCGCCAGCAACAACAGCAGCAGCAGCAGCAGCAATGATCTACTCCGCCAACAGCTGCTCATCCAACAACATCGGCATCCAGGTCATCCTCCACCGCCGACAGCACAGCTCTCGGTGGCAGTGACTCGACTCACAGCGAGCCGCGGGTCAACTGGTGCTACTGCAGCCACAGCCACCACCACCACAACCACCACCAGCAACAACAATAACAGCAGCAACGATTTACTCATCCAACCACCCTGGCTACCAAGTCAACCTCCACCGCCAACGGCTCCCCGTGATAACGGCCCGGCTCTCAGGTGCCGCGTCTCCGCTCACAGCTAAGCGGCCGGTGTTTAAACTAAACTATTTTATTTATCGGCTGAAGCACACCAAGCTCTGAGCTCTTGTTCAGACGTGATAGCTCATGAAAGTGACTGATCATCATCATCATCGCCGTCGTCATCGAGCAGCCAAATAATCTAAATGCGTGTTGTTTCTAAACGTGGAGGGGGGGGGGGGCAAAACCGGAGGAACCCAGAGAACAATCAATGCTGTGACAACCACGTAAAGAGAGAGCGGGTCTGATTGGCTGGTGTGGTTAAGGGTCAGGGTTAGGTGTGGAGCGTGGGTCTGGTTGGCTGGTGTGGTTAAGGGTCAGAGTTAGGTGTGGAGTGTGGGTCTGGTTGACTGGTGTGGTTAAGGGTCAGGGTTAGGTGTGGAGCGTGAGTCTGGTTGACTGGTGTGGTTAAGGGTCAGGGTTAGGTTTGGAGCGTGGGTCTGGTTGGCTGGTGTGGTTAGGGGTGAGGGTTAGGTGTGGAGCGTGGGTCTGGTTGGCTGGTGTGGTTAAGGGTCAGGGTTAAGTTTGGAGCGTGGGTCTGGTTGGCTGGTGTGGTTAAGGGTCAGGGTTAGGTTTGGAGCGTGGGTCTGGTTGGCTGCTGTGGTTAAGGGTCAGGGTTAGGTTTGGAGCGTGGGTCTGGTTGGCTGCTGTGGTTAAGGGTCAGGGTTAGGTTTCGAGCGTAGGTCTGGTTGGCTGGTGTGGTTAGGGGTGAGGGTTAGGTTTGGAGCGTGGGTCTGGTTGGCTGGTGTGGTTAAGGGTCAGGGTTAGGTGTGGAGCGTGGGTCTGGTTGGCTGGTGTGGTTAAGGGTCAGGGTTAGGTTTGGAGCGTGGGTCTGGTTGGCTGGTGTGGTTAAGGGTCAGGGTTAGGTTTGGAGCGTGAGTCTGGTTGGCTGGTGTGGTTAGAGGTGAGGGTTAGGTTTGGAGCGTGGGTCTGGTAGGCTGGTGTGGTTAAGGGTCAGGGTTAGGTGTGGAGCGTGGGTCTGGTTGGCTGGTGTGGTTAAGGGTCAGGGTTAGGTTTGGAGCGTGGGTCTGGTTGGCTGGTGTGGTTAGGGGTGAGGGTTAGGTGTGGAGCGTGGGTCTGGTTGGCTGGTGTGGTTAAGGGTCAGGGTTAGGTGTGGAGCGTGGGTCTGGTTGGCTGGTGTGGTTAGAGGTGAGGGTTAGGTTTGGAGCGTGGGTCTGGTTGGCTGGTGTGGTTAAGGGTCAGGGTTAGGTTTGGAGCATGGGTCTGGTTGGCTGGTGTGGTTAGGGGTGATGGTTAGGTTTGGAGCGTGGGTCTGGTTGGCTGGTGTGGTTAGAGGTGAGGGTTAGGTTTGGAGCGTGGGTCTGGTTGGCTGGTGTGGTTAAGGGTCAGGGTTAGGTTTGGAGCGTGGGTCTGGTTGGCTGGTGTGGTTAGGGGTGATGGTTAGGTTTGGAGTGTGGGTCTGGTTGACTGGTGTGGTTAGAGGTGAGGGTTAGGTTTGGAGCGTGGGTCTGGTTGGCTGGTGTGGTTAGGGGTGATGGTTAGGTTTGGAGCGTGGGTCTGGTTGGCTGGTGTGGTTAGAGGTGAGGGTTAGGTTTGGAGCGTGGGTCTGGTTTGGCTGCTGCGGTAAGGCGTCAGAGGGTGGGGGGCTACACGAAAGCGTGGGGGCAGCACGGACCGGAAATGCGACGGCACGTCGGAGTAGAGCCTCAGCAGGAAGCGCCTGGGGATGCCGGGGCGGTACGTGGAGGGGATGAGGACGTAGCGGCCGCACGCAAGCTCCAGCCGCAGGAAGACATTGAGCGCGTTGATGTACTTGGAGACGGCGACGCGCTCGGGGGCCCTGTGCAGGCGGTACCTTCGGTTCTCCTCCACCTGCACGCCAGCAAGGGTCAGCGGTCGGGGGTCAGTGGCGGGAGGCAGCAGGACAAGATCCAGGAATTGAGTGTCACTATCCAGGAAGCCAGACTAAACACGTGCACCCCGATGTGGCTTCTTCAACAATAGCAACAGCAACCAATACAAACCTGCCATGAACAACCAATCAGATTTAAGATAATATTTTGTTTGTTTGATGTTGTGACCCGGGGTAGGGAGGGGGGTGTCGACGCAGTCTGCACCTTGTAGATGAGGAACCCGATGGAGACTTTTCTGGGCCTACTCGAGGCTTGACTGGGGTCCCGGTCCTGCTGCTGCAAGGAGATGAGGATCTCGTCCTTGTTCTTCTGGACTTGGAACATGTACTGTGAGAGAGAGGGAGAAGACACACGCGTGAGGAGAGCGGCACCTGGGTCTGTCCCGTGACTTCCTGCCAGCGGGCATTTGACACTTCACGTGGCCTGGCACAAGCGCTGTGATGACATCACCGCCACCTAGTAGCGAATGCATACCGTGTCAACCCATGTGGTTTACTCCATATTCTTGTAGAGGAAGATTTGAGTTCAGGTCCATGTGGCGCACGGCCGTTTTCAATACGGGCAAAGACAATGTTTTGTCTATTGTTTGTGTTTCCCCCTTTGTAATCGGACTTTGTAGGATGAACGTTGAGATTTTATAAGCGGCACGGGGTGACCAATAAGGTGTGATTTGGTGAGTAACAAGGTAGGGCACTGATAAGGGGGTTGACAGGTATGCCGATGGCGGCTGTTGTTGTTGTTGTTGTGCATGTGTGGGCGTGGATGTGCGCGTTTGTGAGCGCCAGCGACCTGCGGGTTCTGCAGGTAGGTGTCGTAGTTGCTGCAGCCCCCAGCACGATTGCGCCGGGGATCGGGCGACGGCACCCACTCTCCGAACGAGCGCACCTCCTCCCACGTCTTGCGCACGCTCAGCAGCGCCGTGTTCACCAGGCGGCACACCACCGCGTCCGTAAAGTTCTTACACCAGTCGGTCAGAGACATCCTGCGGGGGGGGGGGGGGCGGGCGGGGGGGGGGGAGCGGCACCCATCCGCGCCTCCCATTAAGCACGGTTGGCTACGTACGGTGCTGAAGAAGTTCAACATGTACACACACTATCGTCATCATGCCGTGCCTCCGATCAGCACAGTTTGCTGCATACGGTGCGAAAGACGTTCAATATGCAGGGAATCCTCTACTTACGAACATTCGACTTACAGACTTTCAAAGATATGAACAAACCTATCCGCATGTCCAGTTATCTGTTCGAACCGAGAGTCGTAAGTTCAGCCGCCGTGCAATAGATGGCGGTAGTCGCATCTACATCTGCAAAACGTAAAGAACCGATGGCATCTATATCTACAGGAGATTATACAACTTTTAAAGCCATTCCCCGTGTTTAGTGTACACGCTGTACAACATGTTTGGAATTGGTAGGAGTAAAGTTGGACTTACGAATACATCGACTTACGAACAGCCCTTTGGAACATAACTCGTTTGTAATTACAGAAGTCTCTGTACATACATTAGCACGGTTGGCTACGTACGGTGCAAAATAAGTTAAACTTACATACATACATCAGCGGTGACGACGGATATGAGGATTCGGACGTATGTAGAATGCCGAACTTATTTTTGGGCCGTACGCAGCTAACAGTGCTCATCAGAGGTGCGGGGGAAAGAACAACACTAAACACAAGTAGCAAGCAAGCGAGACAATGTGGAAACTTGAGAGTCCAAGGATGGTGAAAGTGAGTATCCTTTGACTGACAAGGGAGAGAGCCATTATGGGACCTCCCTTGCCAGTATCAAAATATAAGAATAGGTTTTACCCTTTCTGGCAATAAAACAGGTGTTAACATATTAAAACACCAAACAGAAACCTTTTGTAAGGAACCACGTCTGCATTGACCACGTCTACTCGTGGTGAACATGCAAACAAACAAAAAAACGTGCTCTGGTAGTGTATGATGTATTGTCTTTGAAACTGATTGGTCCACGCCAGAGACAGCTTTCTTTGAGAGCCCAGTCTTTAGAGCCTGTGGTTGGTGACGTTGGCGTTGGTTGGCGAGGTTGGAGAGGCTGACGCAGTGCCACCAGGGCCCCGCCCCCCCTCCTCCGCGGTCCGTGGACCCCAGTGCGGTTGTGACCCTTCCCCGCACACTCGGCAACTCCGCCACTGCGGGGCAAGCGGCCGTCACTCACCAGAACTCCCCGTCGTTCCGCACCGTGATTCCCATCCGTTGGCGCTCGCTCCCGCTGACCATGTTCCACTCCTCCGACCTGCGGGACGGCAATATTTAACGTTTTACTGTCATAATAATAATACTAATAATTGTCCTCTATCCAATTCCCCCCCCCACCCCCTCCAATTGTGGCGTTGTTATTATATACATGCTCACTGTGAACTTTTCAGATTTAGGTGTGTGTGTGTGTGTGTTGAATTTCTTTCACACCGTATGTAGCTTAACCGTGCTTAATCGGAGGTGCTGACGTTCGTGCAAATCGCAATTGCTTGGGGCACCCACAGACAAGCTGAGAGGTAGCGGTCAGGCGGTGAGCCGGCGCTACCAATCATTGCCCGAGCTCTTTGGTTTTTTCGGTGAAGTTACGTAGGTAAAATAAAATTAATTTTAAAAAACTAAATTAAATCACGACGTTGCGGAGGCAACACAAGCTTCCGTCTTCAGGTGGAACAGTCACAGCACTTGATACAGCTATTTTGATTTAATTTAGTTGTTTTCATGTATTTTATTTTACCTACGTGACTTTACCGAAAAAAAAACAAAGAGTATGAATCCTTGCAGTCACAAAAGCTTCAAATCTAGAATTATTACCCCAGCTCTGCGATCCTGTACTTACTAAGGTGTTATCAGCCAGGTTTTATCCATTGATCCCTCGCCAACCGTGGTGGGGGGGGGGGGGTTGACGTTCCTGAAAATTTCCGCGGTTTGGCAAAAAAAACTGCCGATGGTGTGCTGAAGGAAAACCGTGGATACGTAAATGCCGCGGGCTAGGATATCGCCATACGCGAGATGAAGACTCCACGCTCTACGTATGCGTGACGTTCAAATAGCCACCTAGATTCAATCCACAGACTCAATGCTGTCAGTGGAACAAATCTGTAGGCCACCACCCGCTCTTGCATTGCAAACTAACGATAAGCAGATTGCAGCCTTCTGTCCGTAACACCTGGTATGCAGCTCTCTGCCAGTAACACCTGGTATGCAGCCCTCTGCCCGTAATACCTGGTATGCACCTGGTATGCACTGGTGGTCGCTCATCCATGCCAAATACTCTCAACGCGTGACGTCGATTCTAAACGTGGAGGGGAAAACCGGAGGACCCGGGGAAAAATCCACGCGACCACGGGGAAACAGAGAGACAAGAGACACCGCAAAACTGCAAATATACAGCAGCAGCAGGCGTTGTCAGGGCTAGGATCGAACCCAGGTACTTTCTTTATACCAGGCGAGGTAGTTAACATCTCCTGGCCACCGTGATGATGATGATGAGCGAGAGACACGCAAACTCCAAATATACAGCAGCAGGTGTCGTCAGGGTCGGGATAGAACCCACGACCTCCTGTATACCAGGCGAGGTAGTTAACATCTCATAGCAGCCGCAGCGCAATTTGTACGCAGGCCCCCCCTGGAACCAGAGGCAGAGCCAGGATTTCAGGCCCGGGTGACATTCAACAAATTTTAATTTCACGGAGTCCGCCAGACCGAGTGTCGTACACTTATACGCAGAATGTCACCCCTGTCACCCCCCGCTGGCTCCGCCGCTGCCTGGAACTGTCCCGACGACTCGGAGCGTCTTTTACTTCCACCCTCATCATCATCATCCTCCCTCCATCCCTCCATCACCCCCCCCCCCACCCCGTCCCACACTCCGTGCGAGCCGCGTCCTCTCTGCGCAGAGACGTCGGTGACGATCGCACGGCCTTCCTTGACACCAAGCTCACTCCAATCGCCTGTCATCGTGCCAGCGGCCATCAATCAGCCCGCACGCGCCCGCCCCTATCGACGACGACCCCAGCGACCCCGGCGACGACCCCGGCGCTCACGTGTCGCTCCACGGCCCGCTCCACTCGCGGTGGCCCCAGGGGTTGCGCAAGCGCAGCAGGAACTGCTTGCGGCTGACGTCGCCGTCCCGCGGCGCCAGCAGCACCTTGCGCACTGACGTCACGGAGTACGAGTGGCCCTGCACCAAGCCGCTCGCCAGGCGGCGATTCATCTCCTCCGCGGTGGCCTGCCGGGGGGGGGGGGCATGGTGGGGGGCATGGTGGGGGTGGGGGGGGGGACGGCGGCGGGTGGGGTCGGAGCGAGCACGTGGACTCGCGTGGGTACGTGTGTGTGTGTACGTACGTGCATGTGTTCATCTTGACGTGTGTGTGTACGTACGTGCATGTGTGCATCTTTATGTGTGTGTGTGTGTGTACGTGCATGTGTTCATCTTTACGTGTGTGTGTGTACGTACGTGCATGTGTTCATCTTGACGTGTGTGTGTACGTACGTGCATGTGTGCATCTTCACGTGTGTGTGTGTACGTGCATGTGTGTATCTTTACGTGTGTGTGTGTACGCACGTGCATGTGTTCATCTTTACGTGTGTGTGTGTACGACCGTGCATGTGTGCATCTTTATGTGTGTGTGTGTACGTACGTGCATGTGTTCATCTTTACGTGTGTGTGTGTACGTACGTGCATGTGTGTATCTTGACGTGTGTGTGTGTACGTACGTGCATGTGTTCATCTTTACGTGTGTGTGTGTACGTGCATGTGTGCATCTTTACGTGTGTGTGTGTACGCACGTGCATGTGTTCATCTTTACGTGTGTGTGTGTACGACCGTGCATGTGTGCATCTTTACGTGTGTGTGTGTACGACCGTGCATGTGTGTATCTTTACGTGTGTGTGTACGTACGTACGTGCATGTGTTCATATTTACGTGTGTGTGTGTACGTACGTGCATGTGTGTATCTGTACGTGTGTATGTGTACGTGTGTTTGCGTATGTGTATCTGTACGTGTGTATGTGTACGTGTGTGTACGTGCATGTGTGTATGTGTACGTGTGTATGTGTACGTGTGTGTACGTGTATGTGTGTGTGTATCTGTACGTGTGTATGTGTACGTGTGTGTACGTGTATGTGTATGTGTGTGTATCTGTACGTGTGTATGTGTACGTGTGTGTCTTTATGTATGTGTGTATCTGTACGTGTGTATGTGTACGTGTGTGTACGTGTGTGCGTATGTGTGTGTATCTGTACGTGTGTATGTGTACGTGTGTGTACGTGTATGTGTGTGTGTATGTGTACGTGTGTATGTGTACGTGTGTGTCTTTATGTATGTGTGTATCTGTACGTGTGTATGTGTACGTGTGTGTACGTGTGTGCGTATGTGTGTGTATCTGTACGTGTGTATGTGTACGTGTGTGTACGTGTATGTGTGTGTGTATGTGTACGTGTGTATGTGTACGTGTGTGTACGTGTATGTGTGTGTGTATCTGTACGTGTGTATGTGTACGTGTGTGTCTTTATGTATGTGTGTATCTGTACGTGTGTATGTGTACGTGTGTGTACGTGTGTGCGTATGTGTGTGTATCTGTACGTGTGTATGTGTACGTGTGTGTCTTTATGTATGTGTGTATCTGTACGTGTGTATGTGTGTACATGTGTGTCTTTATGTATGTGTGTCGAACTTCTTTCGCACCGCTGGTAGCCAACCATTGCTAATCGGAGATTCCCCGCTACGGACAGACAGACAGACAGGTAGATGGACGACGTACGAACAGACAGACGGACGGAAGTTTGTTCGTTCCTACGTACGGACGGACATACGGACAGACGGATGTGTGTACGGACAGACGAAAAAAACGGACGGACGGACGGACAAGACGGAGCCGCCGCCTTAACGCTTTCCATCTACGGTTGAAATTCCCGGCTAAGTTCACGGTGGAGTTGGTGGGTGAGCTGGGGGGGGGGGGCGGGGAGAATAGGGGGGGGGCTGTCAGTGGACGGAGCGGGGCAGCGGCAGCAGCGGCAGCAGCGTACGCGGATGGAGCAGCTGATGAGGCCCCCGCGCGAGTGCGCCTTGAGCAGGCGGCTGAAGAGGTGGAACTTGCGGACGGCGTCGTGGGCGAGGGCGGTGTCGGTGAGGTCGAGGGGCTCCGACACTCCGCCCGAGAGGTCCACCAGCGCTGCCGCGGTGCTGCCCCCGTCCAGGGCCTCGTACGAGCCGCACAGCCTGGAGACGGTGGGGGAGGGGGGGGGAAGGAGGGGGAGGAGGAGGAGGGGGAGGAGGAGGGGGGCTGGAAGAGGACAGTGAGGAGGTGGAGGGGGAGAGAAGATGGAGGAGGAGGAGGGGGGGAAGTGGGAGGATGAGGAGGGTGAGGAGGAGGAGGAGGAGGGGCTGGAAGAGGACAGTGAGGAGGTGGAGAGAAGGGGGAGGAGGAGGGGGGGCAGAGAAGGGGGAGAGAAGGAAGAGGGGGGGGGAGAAAGAGGGTGAGGAGGAGGGGGGAGGAGGAGGAGGAGGGGGGGAGAAGGAGGGTGAGGAGGAGGGGGGGGAAGTGGGAGGAGGAGGGAGGGAGGACGGTGAAGGGGAGGGGGGGCAGAGAAGGGGGAGGAGGAGGGGGGAGGAGAGAAGGGGGAGGGGGGAGGAGAAGGAGGGGATGGAGGAGAAGGGCGAAGAGGAGGGGGACAGTGATGCGGATGAGGGGGGGGGTGTACGGGGTCCAGGAGGAGGATGGTGAGACAGCTCTCAGGACCACCCCAGGGGGTTGGCTCCTCGCGGCTCTTCAGGGACTGCTGCTTTGTGACGTTATTCATTCACGACCCCCAACGCCGTCCACGTATTCACCACAATGCATTGCGGCTCGTGAACTATGGAGTTTGTTTCGTACCGCAATTAGAAAGTAAAATGTCTCTCCTTGTTACTTTGGATGCCGACCCCTGTGCCAAGCCAACACGACCCAGATGTCCTTTCTACATTCCAAGCCACGGGCACGCAGTGCTGGATATACAAACAGCCACTGTGCGCTATTCATCTTCCAGGCTGTCACGTTAGATACGCCAAAAATGTAAAATAATAATAGTTCAGAAATGCGCGTTGGGCGCACGCTCATTGAGTTATCGAGGGACGATGCCAGCATCCGAGAGCACTGGCACTTGGTCTACCATCAGCAGCAGCATCAGCAACAGAAGCATCATCATCATTAGCAGCAGCGTCATGATTAGCAGCATCATCAGCAGCAGCATCATCATCATTAGCATCAGGATCATCATTTGCAGCATCAGGAGCAGCAGCATCATTAGCATCAGCAGCAGCATCATCATAAGCAGCAGCATCATCCTTAGCAGCATCAGCAGCATCAGCAACAGCAACATCAGTAGCAGCAGCATCATCATTAGCAGCAAAAGAATCAGCAGTTTTATCAGCAGGATCGTCATGAGCAAACAACATAATCAGCAGCTGAAGCATCAGGAGCAGCGAGGACCGTGAGTATAATCAGCGACGTCACCAATGCGGAGTCGTTGAGAAAACATCGCAGAGCTGAACAGGGGTCAGGGCCACCAAAGCCACCGACGTCTTTGGGAAAGGACGCGGCTCACTTAGAGAGACGCAGAGGCAGAGAGAAATAGAGGGAGGGGGGACGCGTCGATCGTAGATCAAAAGACGTCGAATCCAGACCGTCAAGGCCGGTGCCGTGTGAGTGGTGGCGAGGGTGGGAACCAGCAGCGTAGCGAGCGTGGGGGGGCAGAAGGGGGGGGGGGTCCCTTGCACCCCCACTCTCCTCCCGCCCTGGTGGCCAAAGTTACGAGTTGGGGGGGCCTCTGTGACAACCACCGTGAGATTTGTCTTCAACAACGGTGTCAAAAACCATCACCAACAACGCGGTTTAAATTTAATTTTACGAAAATGCTTTCATTTAACGTTTGGCGACCGTGCGAGATTAATGAAAATTGTGGGGGGCCCCATGTGACCGATTACCACTCCCCCCCCCCCCAAGTTTTTTCCCCGTGTAGCCCCGACGCTATGGAACGCTCTTCCACGCGATGTCAGTGATCTGGGAGTGTCTGGACATTTTTTTAAATGTGCCTTAAAACCTATTTATATGCTTCCACTCATAAAAATGTTGTACTTTTCGTAAATTACTTTTTTAAATGTACTTATATTATTTTTATGCTGAGTGCCTGCCGCTGCTGTGTCCTGTACAGCACTTTGAGATCCTTGATGAAAACGCTATATATAAATGGAATAATAATATGATAATAATAATAATAGCAGCAGCATCATCATCATCATTAGCAGCAACAGCATCAGCAGTATTATCAGCAGGATCATCGTGAGCAAACAACATCATTACATTTATAAATATTATAATAATTATCATAACGAGGCTACGACTAACTACGGCAACCGGTGAGACCCATCGCTGGCAGGGCTTGGTGGCCCATGGGAAAGCGGCGGGCGATGGGAGTGAGCTTCGTGTCAAGGAAGGCCGTGTGGACCCCACCGACGTCTCTGAGCAGAGAGGACGCGGCTCGCACGGGGCTGGGCGGGGGGCATGGAGGAGGTGGAGGGAGGATGGAGACGAGGTGAGAAGTAAAGGACGCTCCGAGTCACCCGGACAGTTCTAGAGGGCCCCTGCGTACAAATCGCGCCGTGGTGTCTAGGAGATGTTAACCACCTCGCCTGGTATACAGGAGGTCGTGGGTTCGATCCCGACCCTGACGACGCCTGCTGTATATTTGGAGTCTGCGTACCTCTTTCTCTCATCATCATCACGGTGGCCGGGGGATGTTAACTACTTCGCCTGGTATACAGGAGGTCGCGGGTTCGATCCTGACCCCTGCTGTATATTTGAAATTTGCGTGTCTCTCTCTCCGCGCGGTCGCGTGGACTTTTTCTCCAGGTCCTCCGGTTTTTCCTTCTGCATTTAGAGTCAACGCCACGCTGTTTAGAGCATTTTGCTGCTATAATTTTCCAATTACAGTGGGCCTTATTACCGGGTAACATAAATAAAAAATAGTTTAAATAGGTCATGAAGTGAGCTCGTATCAAGGGACGCCATGTGATCGACACAGACGTCTCTGAGAGAGGATGCGGCTCGCACAGAGAGGGAGGGAGGGAGGATTGAGATGCCAAGTTAAACTAAACTATTTAATTTATTTTACGAGGTAAGGCCCAGTGAGTTATGTACTGTAGCTCTTGTTCAGAAGGGACTTGGCTATAACAAATGACGGCTCAACAAAGCGGCTTATCGTTGCGTGGACATTTATAGCAGCCAAATACTCTAAATGCGTGACGTTGATTCTAAATGTGGAGGGAGAAACAACTGGAGGACTGGGAGAAAAATCCACGCGACCATAGGGAGAGAGAGAGAGAGAGACGCAAACTCCAAATATACAGCAGGCGTCAGGGGACGGGATCGAAACCCACGACCTCCTGTACACCACGGCGAGGTAGTTAACATCTCCTAGCCACCGTGCCGATGATGAGAGAGAGAGAGAGACGCAGACTCCAAATAAACAACAGCAGGCGTCGTTAGCGTCGCGATCGAACCCACGACCTCCTGTCTACCAGGCGAGGCAGTCAACATCTCCTAGCCACCGTGCCTATGATGAGAGAGAGACGCAGACTCCAAATAAACAACAGCAGGCGTCGTTAGCGTCGCGATCGAACCCACGACCTCCTGTCTACCGGGCGAGGCAGTCAACATCTCCCGGCCACCGCGGCTGGCCACCAACGCGACGCACTTGGCGTAGGCCTTCTCCAGCAGGGCGCTCCAGAACTCGGAAGGCTCGCTCGAGCTGCAGTAGAGCAGCGTGCCGTCGGAGGTGGGCAGCCGGTCGTCAACCACCACGTCCAGCCACTCGCCGAAGCGCCAGAAGCAGAAGTGGAAGATCCCCGGGTGCGGACTGGGCCCTCCGCTGCCCCAGCACTGGCTAAAGGGGTCTGGGATCACCTGAAGAGGGGTGGGAGGAGTGGGGTGGAGTTGGTAGGGTGGAGGGTGGTGGGGGGTTTCAGCCAGGTGTGTCGAGGTCTGTTGACAGATTCCGGAGAAAATGTTTCCGCCACAGGCACAACCGCTTACATATCTTGAGTGGTGGGCCCTATTACCTGTAAAATAAAATATAATTGAATAGTATATGCCAGTGGTTGTTAACCTTTACTGCAGGCCTTGCACCCTTTTGGTTCTCAATCGTAATGCTTTTTTTTGTTCATAATATTAACAAATAAGTAAGTTTTTGTTCATAATATGAACAAATAAGTAAGTTGTTACTTTACGTGCCTGTGCTTAATTTGTCTTTTTGATGATTTGCCTTCTAAAAATTGTCTGGCTGTGTCCCGCACCCCCAGAAAGGGTATTTCGCAGCCCTCCTGCACCTAGCCTGGCACAGCAGTCAGTCAACCCACGGCACCCCGGGTCTGTCCCGCGACCTCCTCCGGCACCTAACCTGGGGGTGTCGCGATGCACCCCCGGGTTAAGAAGAAGAAGAAGAACCATCACTGCGTTAGGCCCTCACCTTGCTCCAGACGGACGGCCTAGTGGCCAGGCAGGAGCAGGCGGCCACAAACCAGCAGTTTCCCAGCGTGCCTTGGTTCAGGTCGTGAGCGCTGATGCCTCCGATCACCATGCGCGGGAAAGTGCAGAGCTCCTGCGGGTGGAATGCAAATTCAATTAATAAAAACACGCCCCGTTATAACGCGAAACACGCTCCGCTATAACGCGAAACACGCCCCGTTATAACGCGAAACACGCCCCGTTATAACGCGAAACACGCCCCGTTATAATGCGAAACACGCCCCGTTATAACGCGAAACACGCCCCGTTATAACGCGAAACACGCCCCGTTATAACGCGAAACACGCCCCGTTATAACGCGAAACACACCCCGTTATAACGCGAAACACGCCCCGTTATAACGCGAAACACGCCCCGTTATAATGCGAAACACGCCCCGTTATAACGCGAAACACGCCCGTTATAACGCGAAACACGCCCCGTTATAACGCGAAACACGCCCCGTTATAACGCGAAACACGCCCCGTTATAACGCGAAACACGCCCCGTTATAACGCAAAACACGCCCCGTTATAACGTGAAACACGCCCCGTTATAATGCGAAACACGCCCCGTTATAACGGGAAGCACGCCCCATTATAACGCGAAACACGCCCCGTTATAACGCGAAACACGCCCCGTTATAACGCGAAACACGCCCCGTTATAACGCGAAACACGCCCCGTTATAACGCGAAACGTTATAACGAGGCGTGTTGATACAGTACGCGGAACGATGCAGTAACGCAGTGGCGTCGTAGCCTCGGCTATTTGTCCGTGCCATCTCGCTGTGCGTGTGCGCAGTGGTAGTAAGTAGTGAGTTATCGCTGTTACATTATTCATTGGGGGAAATCTTTATTTGAAGCTTTCGTGACTGCAGGGATCCATACTCTCTGGTTCTTTCGGTCAAGTCATCACGTAGGTAGAAAATAAATAAAAAAATCACGACGTTTCGATTGCAACACAAGCAATCATCATCAGGTGGGAAAACCACAGCAAGAAATATGTTTTGCTGAAGTGGGAGTGAGATGCCGCGGTAAGAGGTTATAGGTCAGAGAGGGGGGAGGGACAAGAGGGGAGAGAGGGGGGGCGTTGCGTGGAGAGGTAATCTTTTCGCTCAACGTGACATCTACGAGTGCGCTGAACGAGGACTCGCTCTCCTCTACCGGTACTTGGCCTACTCTTCCACGCTGCTGTCCAAAACGTCGAAGAAGAAAGAGGTGGGAGTTAGCCGCGATTTACCCACAAAACATGGGATTGTGCCTAATCGACCGTGGTGATGATGGGCCCCATTCGCTGCACCACATGTCAAAATCCACTCGACTGGGGGGATGTCTAACATGGTCCAGCCATCGCATCACCCCCCCCCCCCCCCCCGCGTGAAACCCGTGGCAAGGATCCTGGAAGATTAAAAAAAACGAAGATTCGCTGAGCTCACGCGAGGCTTTGCTTGGTGAACACGGCAAGGCACACAGAGGAGGCGAGCTCGTCCATGAGGCTGGGAGGCCTCCCCTGTGCACGGTGTGGATGACTTGTACGCAGTAGGGGGCACGGGTGGTGCATCTGCCAGTCATCTCAGTCGGGAGAGCCACGGCACCAGCTGGGTCTGTCCCGTGAACTGCTCCTGCACCTAGCCTGGCACAGCAGTCAACCCATGGCACCCCAGGTCTGTCTCTTGACCTCCTCCTGCACCTAGCCTGGCACAGCAGCAGTCACCCCACAGCACCCCGGGTCTGTCCCTTGACCTCCTCCTGCACCTAGCCTGGCACAGCAATCAACCCACGGCACCCTGGGTCTGTCCCTTGACCTCCTCCTGCACCTAGCCTGGCACAGCAGCAGTCACCCCACAGCACCAGCTGGATCTGTCCCGTAACCCTCCTCCTGACAGCAGCGAGCCATCGACATTTTTCACGTGCTGGCCTCAGAGTGCACCTAGCCTGGCACCGGCGCCGTGTGTGACGTGGCCGCCACTTAGTGGTGAATGTTGTTGTTGCTGTTGTTGTTTATTGTTGTTGGAAATATTGTGGCGCACCCCTCCCCCACTCGCCCCCTCCCCCCATAAAGACATAACTAAGAAGCATTGCTGCATACCAGCCAAGTGAGGGTGCCGTGGCTCTGTTGTCAAGATGTTGAACTCTGATTTAAAGCTTTCGTGACTGCAGTAATTCTAAGAATATGTTGAACTCTGTTGAGCTGTGGCCAGTGGAGCTTTGTCTGGTAGGATGGTGATGGTTTAGTGTTGCACATGTGTCTGTGTGTTGGCTGATTTGTTGAGCTTTCTTGCGCTTTGCGCCTCTTATCGTTCGTTGTTGGTAACGTGCTTACCACGTGCCCCCTACTGGACCATCTGTGACATAAGAGCTTTATAGCTCATCGGATTCCTTCTGCAGTATAAATTTTGTTTGCATCTTTTTACCACGAGCTTACGTGGTTAATGTAGACTTGATGCCTTGCAATAGGTGCCTATAAGGGTGCCACGGTGGCTAGGAGATGTTAACTACCTCGCCTGGTATACAGGATGGTCGTGGGTTCGATCCCGACCCTGGCGCCTGTTGTATATTTGAAGTTTGCGTGTCTCTCCCTCTCTCCATCTCCCCATATAGGACCCACCATTACATTGGGTCAAACTTAACATCTCTTAATATTCGACGGCTTGTGCATCAGATCTTATTTATTCACGATGTACTTACAAAAAAATCCGCAGACTACCTGCTGGATCTCCTTTCTGTTTCGAAAAACAAATGTGACCTAAGGTCTTAGCTCATTTACCAGCTTCACATTCCTTATTGCCGTACAAATACTAGAGGAAGGGCCTTTGCTATTGATGCCTCCAGGGTCTGGAATGCTATTGCCAATAAACTGCAACTTGAATCACCACCTATGAGATCTTCACTCAAAACTGCTCTAAAGGAGTTGTACACCCCTAGCTGCCACTGCTATTCAGTGGCCTAAAATCAAATGTTTCGCTCCGGATGACCGCTGCAAAGTATGATCTTGTGTTTTGATTTAGTGTGCTGATCTTTAAAGGCGCATTGCAAATGTTAGATACTCCTACTGATGCTCCTGCTGTTGTGGAGTGACTCATGCAGCCAGCTATGGCTACAGGGTTTGGTGGTACATGTTGTTTATGTCGTTTATTAAGACAAAGTTCCTATGATCACTGTTACATTGCTTTTATGGCTTTATTTTGGTGATTTCGAAAATGTTTTTTGGTTTGGCCATGTTTGTTTGTTGTAGTACGGAGGTAAACTGATGGCCTTAATCTAAGTTGTCTTGTGGTTGTTGTTGTTGTTGTTTGACTTGCATCCCACTGGGGTTTTTGCACAAAGCGTTTGGTGTACTGTGCTTTTTCTGGAAGATTTTTGCTGTGTTTTCCTGGATTTTCTGTTTGCACAGTCACAAAGTCACTTTAAGATGTTTTCTTGTTCGTGTTTTTGTTTTTTGTTTGTTGCGGTTGCACCCGATTCAAGAGCCGAATGGCTCACAGGGCTATACCAAATAAATGAAACTGAAAACTGAAATGAAAAAGAGATACATAGCTATGTGGGCCTTAACTAGTCAAAAAAATCGTTTAATTTTTAGTTTATTTGGTGTTGGAACATCTTAACCCCTTCTGTATTACTGCCAGCATGGGTTAAAGCCGCATCTGTATAACAACAGTCGTAGAATCCCACTCCATCTCTCTGGACCTCTGTATTTTACGTGCTCTGAAAAATGGTCATGGCCGAAACGTCGCCTATTAAAACATGTATCCTTGAAAATGCCACAGTGCTATCGATACAAAGACAAAGATCCCCCGTATAGCCTTAACAGGCTGTAGGGGCAAGTGCTGTTAGCGAGCACCTATAAAGACCGGCACGGCACACGAGGAGGTGGGTGGCCAATACCACGCCCGGCCGCCTTTGTCTCCCTAGTGCGATGTTCACATATCGCACCAGGTACTCATTTGAGGCTGAGTCAACCTAGTGGAGGCCCAGGACCGGTTCAGATAATCGTCACTGGTATTGGCCGTGAGCGAGTATTGAATCCGGGTCGCCAGGTTTGTAGCGCAGCGCGCTCACCGCTACACTACCGCTCACCCGCTATCGATATACACACACGCACACACAAAAAGCAAGCCACAGCGGCAGGAGAGAGAGAGAGATAACATCGTAGCCAAATGTGTAAAGATAAACTTTTATCTCAACCTTAGGTGGGCACCCAACGTTGGAGGGCCGCGTGGGGTAGTGTGGACATTCGACAGATTTCGCTCGGATGTTGTGAACGTTGGCACTCCCGAGCACCTTTGGGCAGATCTCTCTGAGCCCCGATCACGAAACTGGCTCTGCCAACGTGCCTGGCCAGACATCAAAAGACCGCAGTGCCACACTATCTCAACGGCTGGCTGACTGGCTGGCTTAGTAAACAAATATTTGTGCACGTTTACATACTGTCTAAACACAAATACGTGCGTGTGTTCAATAAGCAGGATTCATGGAGGAAAAAAAAAACATATTTCATAAGTTTGTAAACCACAGATTTCCGCCCCAGCCACTTGTGTAAATGTCGACGTTAGCCCGCTTACGCGTGCTGTGTTTGTGAACGGAAGGGGGTCCAGTCTCTGTTGCCTCAAATGCACCCCGCTCCTCAACGGAATCCCGGGGTAAAAGCGGCTCCGCGAAAATGCAGACCGAGGTCTCTTTGTGGAATGTCAACCTCAGATTTCACCACGTCACCCACCCACCCAAGCACCCACCCATCCACCCACCCATCCACCCATCCACCCATCCACCCACCCATCCATCCACCCACCCATCCACCCACCCATCCACCCACCTATCCACCCATCCATCCACCCATCCACCCATCCACCCACCCATCCACCCACCCATCCATCCACCCACCCACCTATCCACCCACCCATCCATTCACCCATCCACCCACCCATCCATCCACCCACCCACCTATCCACCCACCCATCCATCCACCCACCCACCCATCCATCTACCCACCCATCCACCCATCCACCCACCCACCCACGTATCCACCCACCCACCCATCCACCCACCCATCCACCCACCCACCCAACCATCCATCTATCCACCCCATAGAGTTG